TCGTTTCCTAGATCTTTGTGTAGATACAGATAAGATTAAATTAGACCTAATTGACCAGGAATGACGGATTTCTGTTTACAATTTTCCACCACTTGTGTTTCCGACCAGGAAATAGCCACTGCCAGTGGCGGCGTCTTAAGTAAAACCATTAAACGTTGATTTAAATTAGAATTAAAAGTTTTTTCTTTCCTATATGAATGAAATGATTAGCCAAAACAAACAGCCTACGGTACAGGTTTTATTATCCAGTTTCTTCAGAATCCTCGCTCGAGGGGACAGGTTATGATGTCTAGTCTGAACCTCCAGGGACTTCAAAATATGTACTTGTTGGGCGTCTAAATGGTGTACGTCCTGAAGGGCTCCGAAATGCAGCCAGAAGGTCTCGTACACGAATTATAAAAGCCGAGGGGTATCTAATGTCTTACCGTTTAGGACTTACCTGACGACAGGTCTAATTCAATTAATTTATACTTATTCCGTCATGTCGCAGCTGTGACATCATACCTGGGGGGAACGGTCACCACATCGATCCAGCAGATATTAGAGAGTGTTGTTAATAATGTACTAAATACCCGATAATTGTTTACCAATCGTCACCCTTTTGTAGCCAGCTTGTCGACAATATGACACAATATGCCAAGTCTATTGTCGGCTAAAATTGACCATTGTCCATTCTCCTTTCTAGCCTTCAACTGGACAAAGGTGGGGAAGGGACAGCACGTTCAGATCAATGCCAATTTGTCGCTATCATTATTGTACGAGGTAGAGTATGGAAGACCACTGATGTCACGTCTTTTAGTTACGGAGTGTTATAATTGTACTCATCCAGGGAACAATTCTACAGACTATATAATAGAAAAAGCAATAAACGAAAATTGGGCGCATATTTTTGTCATTTGATCCGGTTCTATTTCTTTGTGAATGGATATTGGGGCAATAAAGTTTGTTTTCTATTTGTTAATTATACATAAGTTTAACGCCTTTTTAAAAATATCGCACGCTGCTCATTTTCGATTGAGTATGCCTTAAAACAATTGAAAATGCACCGAATGAACCCACGTGTCAAGCAAAGACCTCGCCAACTAGTGGGTCTCATATATGTTCGTATAGGCCTTGTAAATCGTGTTAACATACACGTGAAATGGTTCTATCACGCGTTTTTACAAGGTCGGTGTGTAAAAACAGCAATAAATTGGCGTGCTATCCGGTACCCCTTTTTCCCCATCCATAGCCAGAGGGATTATGTAGCGGTGTTGTTGACATACAAAGATGCCTTTCTGAACATAGTGGTTAATAACGAGAGCAAACATCGTGTAAGATACATGAGTTGTGAACATTTGGCGCCGAACAGTTCGGCAAAACAAAATGGTTGTAAGAGGCTACTTTCAACAAGGCGCCTCCAAAGGATTACACCCAACTCTTCCTCCCCCTTATTCTCCACATCTTTCCTCAATTCCCTTTACCCTAACCGCGTGTCATAAATATGGTAATTTTATGATAGTGGATGGGAGTATTAGATAGAATCATGTCATGGCACATGGCCGATTTAAAAGACTAGCTTGCACGCGAGAACAAATCCCCTTCCTCTTCTTCTAAATGAACAAATAACGGAACTGTACATATATTACGCCTGTCAAAGCCTTGTGGGAATTGCCTTAATATACATTGTAGTATAGGATGTTTAGAATTTGAAATTACATGCAGATCATGTTCGTTGTTGTCATTTCTCTTTAAAATATTTATATAAACATTCAAAATCAAAATATGTAAGTGTATCAAACCAGCAAGGACGTCGCCTATATTAGTGTAAAACCCAGTAAGCCATATGATCAGGTCTAGTTAATTCCAGTTTAAATGTTTTTACGATTGCTGAGATAAGATAGCCAGTGTGTAAGTAGTGTCGCGACTCGACACACGGGCAGCCCATTCACGGTAACTCCCTCCTCCCCGTCATACTAAACACTACCAAGTTAAACGGATCGTATCTGTTCCGGGCGAAGTCTCCAGTACGTCGCCGGGTAGCGAACACAAAAACCTCTAGCGTTCTTAAACAGATTTGTTCCACATTTAGCTTTGAAAAGAGACAAATGATTTTAACCTTTAAAATAATAGCTATTATACGTTGATATCTTCGGAGCCCTGGCAATTTTAAACGGTGTCAACACTGCTAATAAAGGCCTGACAACTACAAACAAGTACATTTTACGACAGACTAAAAATCGCACGTCATGTCTGTGTATGCATTGAATTAATCTTGACATGAATATAGGTATTTAGAGATTAGCTCACACTGGAGAAATGGGACAAGTTGTCCACACAGTGATTTAGTTAATTATTTTTCGTATTTATAACCTTCAGTACATAACAGTCATTCAATAACTTAAGAACGAGTTGTCATAAGTTTGGTTAATATGGCCAATTAACTATCTCATCAATTTGTAATGCTTTACAGAATGATGGCACCTCTTATGTCGGCCTAGCCTTTTTTTATAAGTACAACCATTACATTAGGGCGCCAAAAAAACTTCGTTTCATATCCTTCATTTCCAAACAACACAATTTTGGATTAAATTGTATAGATAAGCGTGGCGTTGTTAAGCTTCGGTAAACGGTGGATACCTGGAATAATATATATGATATAGACAGCTACCGTTAGTATTAACATCACGTGTCAAATTTCTTTTTAAAACACGCTGCATTACTTTAATCATTTACCACTGGCGCTTTTTAATAGTCATTTTGGTGGATATTAGTGTCGCTTTAAATCTAAAGAGATTTAAAAAGAATGAAAAAGTTTGCTGATGAGAAAATACCTACTGATATCAATTAGTAAATGGCGGACGTAAGAAGCCAAACATATTAAAAAGTCTTGTGGTTGATAAAAAAAATCTTCGGTGTGTTAAGGTATGGAATTAAACATTGGACAAAGGAAGTCGTTTGTGTAATGCAACAGTTCAACGAAAGTATTACACAATACTTATGATTCTTTCCGAAATTTCTTAAAATACATCTTTTAAGTTGAAAAAATATGAAATTTTGAATTCGGAAAAACACTAGTTTAATTTTCAGTCCCGTGCGATATTAGATTCTTAGTACAGAACCAAAATAAATTGTTATATGTTTATGTTTTAAAGCCTTTCCATTGAATACTTGTATGATAACAGGAAATTCCTTCTATATTTGTTAGAGAGTTACATAGAAAAACTCTAGGTGGAGTCGGGACTGCCCAAACTGTCCGGTCTCGTTGACAAGTGACAACTCTATAATGAACGTCAACTGTTTGTCGTCATTGAACACAAATTAACACGAGCATGTTCGCGTGAAAAACTTAAGACATACCGACACTGGGCACGACATAAACATTAAAACGGTTGATTTATTGGTATTTTTTAACTACTCTCAAAACGTTCTTTGTTACTACGAAAACGTGCTACGTCATTCCAAGTAATTAGTTGCCAACGGGTTTTATGAATGAATATGTATCTTCGTTATGCGAGGGTTCGGACGAATCCAGGGAACAGCTGTGACACGATCTTGTACATACATAATGTATATTAACACTTCATTATATAAAACTTAATTAACTTACTGAGGTGATACAGAAAAGACTAGTGGTGGGATAATGACCAGAAGTGGTCAGAACGGTCCGGCGGGACCATCATTATCTGTGGTCCGAATCTGGACGCAAACAAGTCCGTGTCATGTATAAGTCCTGTGGTATTTCTCGTCCACTTTATCACCTCGTTTTTCTCTCATTAGACGAAATCTGGCAGCTTTATTTCACTTTTACACAGCTGTTGGTATAAATAACAAGTATAGCTATTCCAGTCTTTACGTTAATGCCTTAATAGTTCCTGATATGTGAAAAGATATCGTACTTGGAACATTAATACGTGTAAAAGTTCGCACACGCATACGAAATTTACAAAGCAGCTAATTTTGCAGCCATCTGGACATTGTAATGCGAACCATTCGTGATTATATATGTATAAACTTTAAAGTCTGGTGTAATGTGTGAGTATGAAATCTAAAATCCTTTTTATTAGCGCCATATAAAACACCTGACAGTCGTTTTAATAATGGACCACTTTTGTATATAATTATCCACTTTTACATAATTTTTACAGGGCTTATTTTTTTTGCTATATAACATTCTTTGTCGTGAGTTGTCGAGATGTTTTTAACCAACCATGACGATTAACCGTCTGGCCTAACGATGACAGATGAATACCACGTGCGATTGAACACCTCCTGTATCCCGTTAATTATTGTCCTATTTAACTGTTTTGTTTCCTTTTAGTAAGGTATGCGTTACTTTCCCTCTCTTTACGTTCGCCCAACAATTTTGCTATTCTGATGCATGTAGATTTCAATTACGTCACACTAATTATTAACCAAATAAGTGGTATTATTTTTGGTGATTTAATTAAGATTTCACATGAATTTTATTTTCATTTGCGTGGTTTGTAAATTGGTTTAGCTATAAATTGATAAAACAGACAGGAGCGCATAGTACACACTATTTTGCATGTAAAACGGGACTCCTCCCTAGCGTTTTCGCAGAAATTCCTCATTTGCGCTTTTGCGAGACCCCCTACCATAGTTATCGATCATCTCGGTAAAACTCATCGATTATATATGGGACATATCAAAGAAACCAAAGTCATTAAACCTTATTTAATGAGGTTTGAAGATTGCCCTTCACGTATTCTATGTTTTATCGCTACGTGAAATCTCTCACAAATATCCTCGACACTTACTACGGGTTTATTACGAGGGATTTAGATATTCAAGCGACGTCATCTTTCGGGTATATCAATACTTATATGTGATTACACTTTAGATGATTTAGTCATGTGATGTAATCTTAATGCATTTTCTGCGTTTGATATTTCTGTATACGCGAATTTCATCGGAAAGCTTTAAGATTCTTTTTAAACGTCTCTAAATGATTTAGTGTATTAAATTTACATAAACATTTAATTTGAAAAAAAACTTACCTATTTCGGCGTGGATGCTCCGGACAGTGTTCCCTGACAGATGACCCTTTGATATTTGAGAATTTCGGAATCTTTCATAAAGGTCCAACATGTATTTCGGAGCCTCCTGGCCTACGCCGTATGGGGAAGAATGCTTGTCCCTCGGGACTTCATCTTTGAACCCCAGCAATGTCTTGACAGCTTCGTTGAGAAGGACGTTTTGGGGTCCGTCCGAGTTCTCTCGCGATAACACAGTACACACTAGTACAGCTAAGATGAGTGTCAAATTTACGGTATGAAACATGACTTTTAAGCTCATAAATCCAACACAAGTTCACAGAGAAATGCTTCGTTTTTATTACCCGTACAATTAAATTCCTTGTGCAATACAACAACTCCCCGTGGTTATTGGATAAAATGAAACCGATTCCACCATAGTATTTCAGACTTGAAATTTAATTTCAAAATCATTCAAAACGAGTCGTCATCTTGATGGTAACGAAAACACATAAGAATGAAAGTTGGCATTTTTACTACACATTTTCGGCACGAGTTCTGTTACACTCTGTAACATAAATGATCACTTCGAATAAATCCCAATACCGGTGCGATTAATTTCTCACAGCAGTGAAATTTTGATGATTGTATTTCTCACGGTATTAAAATGCTTATTATTGTATTTCATTCATATATATGTGTGTAGTATCCGTTAGTAGATAAACTTGTACGTAAAGATCCAGTGGTATACAATATCCGGTGGTTGTAAGATGTGTGTGTATATATACTATATGAGTGCCTTATGAACGCGAGCACCTGTATGACAGGTAAAAGAATTGCCAATGAATGCACAAAAACTGCTAATTTCCACTTGTATAGTGGCAGGCGGGCTAGAACGTAGTAAACAGTGGACTACGTGGAGTACGATTGGGTGGCTCAGCGTGGACAGGAGTCGTCAATAACACCGCGATAAGCCCCGCCCCCAAACTGTCAGAGAGCTTGCGCGGCACGCCAGTGATTTATGCCTATCATGCAGGGTTTGTCCATCATTATTTTGATGGCAGCAGTGGGATTTTAAGAATGCACAAATGGCCAAATTATAACTTGTAATTTTCTTCCCTTGTTTTTGACATAAAAATTTGTCGTTCTTATCATATTGGCTGTTGTAAATGTGTACCTCCCGTTACTAGTGTAGACCGGCGTGTACGATACAGCCCTCTTACACACATACACACGGCAGGTAAAGCAATTAGTAGTCAGGAAAGTCAAACTTTGCCCTGAATATTTATTTCACTAATTTTATACTTATTTAAACTGAAGTCATTCCGGATTTAACTTTTTAAATACTACTTAAAAAGACAGGTTTAATTCACTTAGCCCGATTCTGTCTCCTGCTGGCCTCTAAGTATGATCTGAAATCTCTTGAAGTGTAGGCAATGTCTAAAATCCCTTGCATAGTGCCTTTAATACCGTGTCGCGAGAGGTTATTGACAGAATTTTACAACAGATAAGTGGCGCTGTTTAGATTTTATACTAGCTTTACAGCCGCGGAGAGTGGAGAGCTCCGCGTCCAGGTTGTTTAATAGTGAAACGCTTGTACCGAAACTATGATTGCTTTACTATAAGATAATTAGAGCTAGCTTCGATGCGACAGTTTGAAACTCGATACAAAGTGAAATGTTGACGACCACAGGAAATATCTAGTGAAAACCAATAGCATTTGAATAAAAGAAACGAATTAATAAATCTATTAAAATAAGTGGAAATACTTACAAAAACAATTAAAAAATCTAAAAATAATACGTTTGGCCTTTGCGATACTCATCGTATCCTCTTCGTTGAGAATATCAATCTGGTTCTCACTGTTGTTTGTACTTCACGCCAATGAACAATATAGTTTCCTGCCATACTCGAAATAACCTACACGGCCATGAAAGTAAAATAAGTTTAAAAAATAAACTGTATGAAAGTAATTTATTACTTTTCACCGGTACGTTTGATAACGTTTCAATATTAGTTAAAAACAAACTTGTTTGAAGATATCGGTGATGCATTCCGTAAACAGCCAAATTGTAGTAGAGTGTCGACTGCCTCGTTAAGGTAAATTGTAGAAGAGTGTCGACTGCCTCGTTAAGACTGCCTCGTTAAGGTAAATTGTAGTAGACAGTCGACTGCCTCGTTAAGGTAAATTGTAGTAGAGTGTCGACTGCCTCGTTAAGGTAAATTGTAGAAGAGTGTCGACTGCCTCGTTAAGACTGCCTCGTTAAGGTAAATTGTAGTAGACAGTCGACTGCCTCGTTAAGGTAAATTGTAGTAGAGTGTCGACTGCCTCGTTAAGGTAAATTGTAGTAGAGTGTCGACTGCCTCGTTAAGGTAAATTGTAGTAGAGTGTCGACTGCCTCGTTAAGGTAAATTGTAGTAGAGTGTCGACTGCCTCGTTAAGGTAAATTGTAGTAGAGCGTCGACTGCCTCGTTAAGGTAAATTGTAGTAGAGCGTCGACTTCCTCGTTAAGGTAAATTGTAGTAGAGTGTCGACTTCCTCGTTAAGGTAAATTGTAGTAGAGTGTCGACTGCCTCGTTAAGGTAAATTGTAGTAGAGTGTCGACTGCCTCGTTAAGGTAAATTGTAGTAGAGTGTCGACTTCCTCGTTAAGGTAAATTGTAGTAGAGTGTCGACTGCCTCGTTAAGGTAAATTGTAGTAGAGTGTCGACTGCCTCGTTAAAGTAAATTGTAGTAGAGTGTCGAGTGCCTCGTTAAGGTAAATTGTAGTAGAGTGTCGACTGCCTCGTTAAGGTAAATTGTAGCTGAGTTGTCGACTGCCTCGTTAAGCTGTCAAACAGAAGTTATCATTGTGATTAAATACTGATATCGGCAATATAAACTGTCCGAACTAAAGATTTAAATTTCCAACAGATGACAACGAATTAAGGGTCTGTCAAAATTATCATTTTATCATAAAGTGGATCGGGCGAGGTTTTCCACTGACAAATCGTCCGCAACGTGACCTGCTACTCTTGTTTACGTTCAAGTTGTTTATGTAATACATGAAAAGATCACATGGTTAAATGGTGTCACGTGTAATGGTGTTCCGTTTACCCCATATCCCAATATGGTGATACCCCCTTGTTCCAAACTATTATTCCGCGCACCCAATTATTCCTACTATTACATCTTTGCTAGCCAAAAGTGTTTAATACGATATACTGACCTTTTTCAAAGCCACTGGACTGTTGACCTCACTATCATAACGTGTATACATTATTCCAGTTTGGTTTTACGAGTTCCTCTTTAATCCGGACTGGTGGTACATGTTCCTTTTTATTCCGGATTGGTGTTACGAGTTCCTCTTTATTCCGAACAGGTGTTACGAGTTCCTCTTTATTCCGGACTGGTGTTACGAGTTCCTCTTTATTCCGGACTGGTGTTACGAGTTCCTCTTTATTCCGAACAGGTGTTCCGAGTTCCTCTTTATTCCGAACAGGTGTTACGAGTTCCTCTTTATTCCTGACTGGTGTTACGAGTTCCTCTTCAATCCGGACTAGTGGTACGTGTACCCCTTATTACGGACTGGTGTTCCATGTTCTTAATTCTGCACTGGTGTCATCGGTTCCTCTTTATACTGGACTGGTGTTACGGGGTTCCTCTTTATTCCTGACTGGTGTTACGAGTTCCTCTTTATTCCGGACTGGTGTTACGAGTTCCTCTTTATTCCGAACAGGTGTTCCGAGTTCCTCTTTATTCCGAACAGGTGTTCCGAGTTCCTCTTTATTCCGGACTGGTGTTACGAGTTCCTCTTCATTCCGGACTAGTGGTACGTGTACCCCTTATTACGGACTGGTGTTCCATGTTCTTAATTCTGCACTGGTGTCATCGGTTCCTCTTTATACTGGACTGGTGTTACGGGGTTCCTCTTTATTCCTGACTGGTGTTACGAGTTCCTCTTTATTCCGAACAGGTGTTACGAGTTCCTCTTTATTCCGGACTGGTGTTACGAGTTCCTCTTTATTCCGGACTGGTGTTACGAGTTCCTCTTTATTCTGGACTGGTGCTACAGGTTCCTTTTTATACCGGACTGGTGTTACGGGGTTCCTCTTTATTCCTGACTGGTGTTACGAGTTCCTCTTTATTCCGAACAGGTGCTACGAGTTTCTCTTTATTCCGGACTGGTGTTACGAGTTCCTCTTTATTCCGGACTGGTGTTACGAGTTCCTCTTTATTCCGAACAGGTGTTACGAGTTCCTCTTTATTCCGGACAGGTGTTACGAGTTCCTCTTTATTCCGGACTGGTGTTACGAGTTCCTCTTCATTCCGGACTAGTGGTACGTGTACCCTTATTACGGACTGGTGTTACATGTTCTTAATTATGCACTGGTGTCATCGGTTCCTCTTTATACCGGACTGGTGTTACGGGTTCCTCTTTTTTCCGGACTGGTGCTACAGGTTCCTCTTTATACCGGACTGGTGTTACGGGGTTCCTCTTTATTCCGGACTGGTGTTACGAGTTCCTCTTTATTCTGGACTGGTGTTACGAGTTCCTCTTCATTCCGGACTGGTGGTACGTGTACCCCTTATTCCGGACTGGTGTTACTTTTTTAAATTCTGTACTGGTATCATGGGTTCCTCTTTATACCAGACTGGTGTTACGGGTTCCTCTTTACTCCGGACTGGTGCTACAGGTTCCTCTTTATACCGGACTGATGTTACGGGTTCCTCTTTACTCCGGACTGGTGCTACAGGTTCCTCTTTATACCGGACTGATGTTACGGGTTCCTCTTTACTCCGGACTGGTGTTACGAGTTCTTAATTCTGGACTGGTGCTACAGGTTCCTCTTTATTACTGACTGGTGTTACAGGTTCTTTGTTCTGGACTGGTGTTACGGGTTGCTCTTTCTTCCGGACTGACGTTGAGGGTACTTTATTTTACTGAACTGCTGTGACGAATTCTTCGATTTTCTATACTTGTGTCACGTGCACCTCATTTTTCCTACGTTTATCGTTGTTAAACTTCTTAAGGTCATTTATGGAAATGCCATGTTTTATATATTACAACTGATTTCACACCAGTTATCAGAACAAACATTTACAAACAGTATATTTTTGTAAGATGCAGAAGGCAAACGGGTAAAATAGGTCATTTGAAACTTATTCAACTATTGTACATGTACATTGCTTTTCTAGTGCTGTCAAAATGGACTACGACAATAGCAGTTATGTAAATGGTTGACTTATATATTGTAATCCCGAACATTTCTGGGGTTTGGTCTACTTCCGATCCCATTTATGTACTGTCTTACCGTGGACGTATCGGAGCACGAAGTAACCAGATGGCGAGAAACGTTCACCAGACGTTTGGAGAAATTGTTAACAGACTCGGAAAGGACATACTGGTAGACAAGCGCCAGTCCTGTTTGACAGGAAGTGACGAATTAACATTCCACATTAATTCAGAGTAAACTAACCGAAACAGAATTACATTATCACTTACGAACATCACAACCGACCATCATGAGGTCAGTGAATACTATAGAGGAAGCGGTGACGGCGTAGAAAGGGCAGAAAGCTGTGTAAATCATACATATAGACGTCAGCGTACACTCTCACAGAGGATAGAGGTCAACATACATATTCACAAGGGTACAGGTCAACGTACACCTCCACACAAGGGGTACACATCAGCGTACACCTTCACACAGAAGGTACAGGTCAGCGTAGACCTTCAAACAGAATGTACTGGTCAGCGTACACCTTTACACAGAAGGTACAGGTCAGCGTACACCTTTACACAGAAGGTACAGGTCAACGTACACATTCACACAGAAGGTACGGGTCAGCGTACACCTTTACATAGAAGGTACAGGTCAGCGTACACCTTCACACAGAAGGTACACATCAGCGTACACATTCACACAGGGGTACAGGTCAACGTACACCTCCACACAGAAGGTACGGGACAGGTACACCTTTACACAGAAGGTACAGGTCAGCGTACACCTTCACACAGAAGGTACACATCTGCGTACACATTCACACAGAAAGTACAGGTCAGCGTACACCTTTACATGGAAGGTACAGGTCAGCGTACACCTTCACACCTGGGGTACAGGTTAGCGTACACCTCTACACAGAAGGTACATGTCAGCGTACACTTTCACACAGAAGGTACAGGTCAGCGTACACATTCACACAGAAGGTACGGGTCAGCGTACACCTTCACACAGAAGGTACAGGTCAGCGTACACCTTCACAAAAGGGGTACGAGTCAGCGCACACCTTCACAAAGAAGATCTATGCCAGTGCATGCGTTCACACAGAGTGTACAGGTCAGCGTGCACCTTCACAGAGGGTGAACAATTCAACGTACACTTTCAAAAAGAGGATACGGTATAGCGCACATCTAAACACAGATGAGGAAGGGCATAGGGCAACGTACATCTTCACACAGAAGACAGAGATCAGCACACACCTTCACACAGATGGTGCAGGTTATCGTACACCTTCACACAGAAGGCAGAGATCAGCACATACCTTCCCAGAGATGCTGTAGGTTAGCGTACACCTTCACACAGAAGACAGAGATCAGCACACACCTTCACACAGATGGTGCAGGTTATCGTACACCTTCACACAGAAGACAGAGATCAGCGCATACCTTCCCAGAGATGCTGTAGGTTTGCGTACACCTTCACACAGAAGACAGAGATCAGCACACACCTTCACACAGATGGTGCAGGTTATCGTACACCTTCACACAGAATACAGAGATCAGCACATACCTTCTCAGAGATGCTGTAGGTTAGCGTACATCTTCACACAGATAGTGCAGGTTAGCCTACACCTTTGCAGAGGGTACAAATCGACATACACCTTTAGCAGAGGGTATATGTTGGTGCACACCTTCGTACAGAGAGCAGAATCAGCGCAAACCTTCATTCGTTGTCGAGGTTGTGTCCTTGGACAAGACACCTTACCCCAATTGCACTGAATAACAAATGATGTGCCTCCCGTGGGAGGTTCAGAGAGGTAGTCACTATTTAGAATATGCTTCAAAGAAAAACGTGAAAGGATCCTGAATGTTCAAGATGTGATGATATCACCAAGCAAACATAGAAGTAGACACATCCGATGTATACATTGAAGATGCCAATATCATATATCATCACATTTGAGGTGATAATTGGAAGTATGTGTACATTTTCTGCTGTTTTTGTACGATGTATTTACGAAGTGTTTGTTTTAATTATTGATGATCATTTGTCGTTTTTGTTTTTCTTCTCCGCTTCTCTATGTTTTTTTGTTTTTTGTTTTTTTTTCTTTTGTTTGCTTGTTGTTTGTTTATTTATTCCCTTCGTTTGTTATTAAATCAATTCATCCTCTTAGAAGATTTTGGATAGAAACCATGTGAAGATGACTACGATAACGACAATGAATTGGATGCTAGCTTTCCGTCAAATAAGAAATAAAAATGATGTTGTCATTTGAAAATATCGTTGTTTGCACGTGCAATAATGAAAATGCCGTTCTTGAATAATTCTGTTAATATTAATCAATTGTTTGGGCGAAAACTGACCCATAGAAATCTGATGTGCACAATTAAATATTCTAACGAAAAGCGATACCTGAATTTCCTTCTAAATATACATCATGCATCATGCCCAACTTTTATCTAATTTAATTTATTAATTGTATTCATTGTGATCCGTTATGTGTAATTTCCTTCTGAAACGAAGAGAACAAAAATTCGAGGCATTTACCTGTGTCTGTGATGACGTGTAAGTTATAGTGATGATTTATAGTGAAGGAACAGACTACCTTGTCATTCACATTAAATTGTCTTTCATGTCAATTGATTTAATAGACATCGATCGTTATACATAAATACTTTTTTTAAAACCAAAACAATACATCATGTTTACATCCAGAACCATGTTGGAACGCTCTTCCGGAGTGTCGACACCACATTGTTACCTTTGATTCGTGTATTACACAAAGCCTTGACATGGTTCCCGGTATAGTCAAAAGAACTCTTACACAATTGTTTTTATCCTCAACAAAGTAAAGTTGATATTTACAATTTGCATATCTTTCTGACATTTTCTATAGATCCCAGAAAAATACATGAAAATACATCATAAAACATTTTTTTTTTTTTTTTTTGCGCAAAATATTGTGAAAATAGATGTTCTGTAGACGGTTTGCTTATAAACTTTAACAGAGCTTCATGGCGTCAACAGACGTCCTAAATGTCGCGAATCAGATGTCTTCAAAAGATGTAGCAAGACGTCCTGGCATGTCGCAAGCCAAATGCCTTCAAAAAGTGAAGTCTTACACCCGCCCTGAAATGTCGCGAGTCAAATGCTTTCCAAAGCTGTCGCCATACGTCCTGAAATGTCTTCAAATTGAGTAGCTCAACGCCCGACCTTTAATGTAATGTCGAGAGTCAAATGCCCTCAAATTCTGTAGCTCAACGCCCGACCTGTAATGTAATGTCGAGAGCCAAATGCCCTCAAATTCTCTATCTCAACGCCCGACCTGTAATGTAATGTCGAGAGTCAAATGCCCTCAAATTCTGTAGCTCAACGCCCGACCTGTCATGTAATGTCGAGAGCCAAATGCCCTCAAATTCTGTAGCTCAACGCCCGACCTGTAATGTAATGTCGAGAGCCAAATGCCCTCAAATTCTGTATCTCAACGCCCGACCTGTAATGTGATGTCGAGAGTCAAATGCCTTCAAAAGCTGTCGTTATACTTCTTGACAAGTCAAATGTCCTAAAAACCAACTGTCGCCATACGTCCTATATGTAAAGAATTAAATGGTGTAGCTCATCCCTGTCCTGAAATATAGCGAGTCAAAAGCCTGCAAATGCTGTCGACATTAGGCCTGAAATGTCACGAGTCAAATGTCTTCAAATGGTGTGGTCATACGTCCTAAAATGCCTTCATGTTGGGAGTCAAATATCTAATGTCGCCATGTCACGAGTCATATGCATCTAAATTTCGAAACCGCAGTGTTTTTTTACCTTGAAGAACTTGAGAATTACAATAATAGGCTCAGCATAACGTCCAAAGCAAATTCACAATTATTCACGTTTTTATATCATGCTATCACATTAAACGGTTACTGTCATTGAACATATTTAATTCTGCAAAGTACAGAAGGATTTAATATGTCATTCCAACATCAACACGATTACTCATCTCTGTTACTGATCTGACGATCGATACGATATTTATCAGTTCCTTTCATCACAAGCCGTAACGTTTACTTCAATATAGGGCAACGCATTATTTATCGTTAAAACAAACCCTATTTTAGTCATAACTAGTATGATTGATGATGTAAATTTATATAAAATTTCTACTAATTTACATGCACATAAATCTAAATGCTACACGTGGCTGCATTAATTCATTGAAATTAAGGAAATGTAGAATACCTATACGTAAGAGATGAGTAAGCATGCTGAACTCTTTTTTTTGTGTTTTTTAAACAGAACTGCAGTAATTTATGTTGATTTGCCAGGCACCCAGCCATTGAAGGTAACATGGCAAATTTCGTCAAATTATTCGTTTCAATCTGTTGATGTTTATCTTACAAAATGTACTTCCTTTTAACACATCCTGATGAACAATCAACATTTAACTTAACCGGCAAGTATGATCAATGCAAATACTGTATTATTGCATGAAGGATAAAATTTCTGGTTTGACTCTAGCACCTCCATCATATATAAATATATATATATATATATATATATATATATATATCCTGGTAGTCTTTTATATGATTCTTTTAATCTCCTCTGTCATACTTGTAGTCTCCAGGTATGATCCTTGTAGTCTCCTGTATGATCCTTGAAGTCTCCTGTATGAACCCTGTAGTCTCTTCTATGATCCTTGTAGTCTCCTGTGTGATCCATGTAGTATCCTGTATGATCCTTGTAGTCTCCTGTATGATCCTTGTAGTCTCCTGTATGATCCCTGTAGTCTCATGTATGATCCTTGTAGTCTCCGATATGATCCTTGTAGTCTCCTGTATGATCCTTGTAGTCTCCTGTATGATTCTTGTAGTCCCCTGTATGATTCTTGTAGTCTCCTGTATGATCCTTGTAGTCGCCTGTATGATCCTTGTAGTCTCCTGTATGATCATTGTAGTCTCCTGTATGATCCTTGTAGTCTCCTGTATGATCCTTGTAGTCTCCTGTATGATCCTTTTAGTCCCCTGTATGATCCTTGTAGTCTCCTGTATGATCCTTGTATTCTCCTGTATGATCCTTGTAGTCTCCTGTATGATCCTTGTATTCTCCTGTATGATCCTTGTATTCTCCTGTATGATCCCTGTAGTCTCCTGTATGATCCTTGTATTCTCCTGTATGATCCCTGTAGTCTCCTGTATGATTGTTGTAGTCTCCTGTATGATCCTTGTAGTCTCCTGTATGATTCTTGTAGTCTCCTGTATGATCCTTGTAGTCTCCTGTATGATTGTTGTAGTCTCCTGTATGATCCTTGTAGTCTCCTGTATGATCCTTGTATTCTCCTGTATGATCCTTGTAGTCTCCTGTATGATCCTTGTATTCTCCTGTATGATCCTTGTAGTCTCCTGTATGATCCTTGTAGTCTCCTGTATGATTCTTGTAGTCTCCTGTATGATTCTTGTAGTCTCCTGTATGATTCTTGTAGTCTCCTGTATGATCCTTGTATTCTCCTGTATGATCCTTGTATTCTCCTGTATGATCCTTGTATTCTCCTGTATGATCCCTGTAGTCTCCTGTATGATTGTTGTAGTCTCCTGTATGATCCTTGTAGTCTCCTGTATGATTCTTGTAGTCTCCTGTATGATCCTTGTAGTCTCCTGTATGATCCCTGTAGTCTCCTGTATGATCCTTGTATTCTCCTGTATGATCCTTGTATTCTCCTGTATGATCCTTGTAGTCTCCTTTATGATCCTTGTAGTCTACTGTATGATCCTTGTATTCTCCTGTATGATCCTTGTAGTCTCCTGTATGATCATTGTAGTCTCTTGTATGATTCTTGTAGTCTCCTGTATGATCCTTGTAGTCTACTGTATGATCCTTGTGGTCTCCTGTATGATCCATGTAGTCGCCTGTATGATCCTTGTATTCTCCTGTATGATCCTTGTAGTCTCCTATATGATTCTTGTAGTCTCCTGTATGATCCTTGTGGTCTCCTGTATGATTCTTGTATTCTCCTGTATGATCCTTGTAGTTTCCTGTATGATCCGTGTGGTCGCCAGTTTGATCCCTTCCTTGTCCCCGGTATGATCCTTGTAGTCACCAGTTTGATATCTTCCTTGTTCACGGTATGATCTTTTAAGTCCCCGGTATGATCCTTGTAGTCGCCAGTTCGATCCCATCCTTGTTCACGGTATGATCTTTTAAGTCCCCGGTATGATCCTTGTAATCGGCAGTTTGATCTCGTCCTTTATTCATGTGTTATCCCTGTAGAACCGTATATGACTTTGAATCCTTCTGTTCTGTAGCGTTCATTGTACGTCCGCTTTCCCTGTAACCCGGGATATTAAAATTCAACCTGTAAGAAACTAGAAGGGCCAAATAGCGATTTATTTATTGTACGATATTCACAAAATATCGAGAATGGACTTTTGGCAGAGAAATGATGGATTCACGATCTCTTCAGGAACATGACGTACAAGTAAGAGACATAATATGATAATTCCGGTCCTTCAACCTGTCGATAACAACTTCCAGAAAAAAACTTCAGTTGTGAATACAACTCTTTTCAGGTGGATGTCAACTTTTGATTTCGATTGGAAGTCTTTTATTGCTTTATTTTACGAATTTATAAATGTTAATCATGTAGATAATCGGTACGAAATTATATTTAAATTGCGTTTCCTTATGAATGTACTCCGACAAACAGATTTTCAATTTCAACGAATTTTATTGCTCAAAAAGGGCAAAGGGATAGGGCATCAGGCATTGCCTATTTCAGCCTTCTCCCAGCAACTTCTGGATGGTAATACAAGCAATTGAATTTATTAAACACATGCAGACAATACATAACAGATAAATATACAACAGTGTCTCCATTTCGCCACTGGTATACATACAATTACTTTTAATCAAATCTTTTAGTGTCAATTATATATTCTGAGATACATACAATAAGAATGTACTTATTTCTTTATCACATTCATGGCACATATGAATTACTACATATTAAGATGGAGAGGCAAATAAGTAATGATCTGCAGATTCTTCGCCTAAATGACAAGAACATAATGGAGAATCTTTTAAGCGATCAAGAAAGAGATCAGAGGTCAAATTGCTGGCTTCATTTCTAAGTTGACAAATCTTTATATTTATTCGACGGCTACCATTATTTTTAAGCGCTTGTGTTGCAGCAGAAACAGACATAGATGTAATTTGATGAAATACTAGACATATTGTGTTTAGAGTTAATCCAGTGACTTGACATAACACATGTGCGTGTACATGTATATCTCGGCGTATAATAAAGCATCCTGTACAACTAAAATGACCCTGTATGTACATGTCTGTGTATATGCAATCAACACCTGCTTACTTTGATTCTGTGCAGCACAAACTCATTTTTGATGAAGTGAAAATAAAAATAAAAATTCAGAGTTCAACTCTAAGCAATGGCAAATTTCTGTTCAACATGACCTGAAAGATGAACGTGAAAAACACTTGTTCATAAATCACGTGAGATAATTTAGACCATACAAACGTTTGTTTGTTATCATACTACAAACCTAAATAGATCATTGCACCTTATTGTGATGTTCACACCTGCTACTTTGGGTTGTACAATTTTACACCTCTCAAAAACAAGCAAATCGCTCAATCTAGAGCCAATCCCTTTATCAAAATTCTTTGTCCGAACAAGAATATATAACACTCAAGATGCAAACATGTTGATGAATCGCAACACAACAGCTGTGATCGAGGTCCAGAGACGTGTGAGAAAACTTTTGATAAAGTGTAGCTTTTTTGTAGTGATCTGTCACTATTATAGACGTTGCCGCATGTTATCAACACGGGTGTCGTAACACAGCGGGTGATCTCAGCTTTACATCACAAGCTAGATCTCTCTCGGATCTTTCGTCTAGAACATCACTTTTTAATTCTGTTAATATCCTCAAAGCCTTACTGACATGGAACTTGTGATTTAAGATATACAAAATCCACGGTTTAATCCGCTGAATTGCAACGAACCGGCGTAGTGTGACATATAACATCTTCCCGTGTAAATAATACTAGAGTACCCATGGTCCCTAATGTGTTTTGGAGGCGGAACAGAAAGTACGTGTTGCCGAAGGCAAGTTTGTAATTAAGAGTTACATGTGAATATGAAATTGATAAACTTATCTTATGTGTGACCACAGGCTACAGAATCGTCATGAAAAGATGCCTTTAATTGTAGAACGCATTATTTGGTTAAAAAATGTTCGACTTGTCATGCGTATTCCCACTAGGTGGTAAAGTAGGGGATTAGATGTACTCCACGCGCTCTACATCACCTTTGCTGTGAAAACGACACAGTCGTTGATTAGTGGTGCCGACAAGTACATCATGATATGGGTTCTGTAGCACATTTTAAACTACACTTATAGTTATTAATATAAGTTTAGACTTTATGATGCTGTGATAACCAACAATCTAGTAAATATAAATCTTTTGCGTATCCATATCCAAATTGTGGGCGCCAACACACAATGCCTACCCGTGTGTCCCATATCACATGACCTTTTTTCTGTATCACATGACATGAAACGGGACTAACCGTCGAACCGGAGTCCGGATTTATTCACCTGTGTGACTCTGAAATACACAAGTTGACACGAAAACAATGCCATTTTCGACACAGGGGGTGTTGAAAACTAGCCCACTGATTTAGAAACTTCTCCAGAACCATGTCTGCACTCCTTTGTAAAAATTCAGATTCCGGAAGCGGGAAAACGATACCGTTATGGTTAAATTGCTCAGTGTTCCGTGCAATGTTAGTCCGTAAAACGTGCCAGTAGGTGGTGTTAACGTGTTCTCAATACCACGGCATACAGACTCAGTGTCTCGTTCGGAATGGCTGTGACCAGTACTCGTGGTGATTTTTCAAGGCCATCAAACAAGAGTTATGAGCGTGCTTTACAGAATATGATATTTTACAAAGATATGAAAATAAAAGGTGTGTTATCAGAATCTGGTGGTTTACAAAGATGTAAAAGGATTGAGTGTATTTTACAGAATTTGACGTTTCACAAAGATGTAAAAATAATCAGTGTGTTTTACAGAATTTGACGTTTTACAGAGATGTAAAAGTAATGAGTGTGCTTTACAGAATACTGACGTTTTACAAAGATGTAAAAGTAATGAGTGTGCTTTACAGAATTTGACGTTTCACAAAGATGTAAAAATAATCAGTGTGTTTTACAGAATACTGACGTTTTACAGAGATGTAAAAGTAATGAGTGTGCTTTACAGAATCCGATGTTTTAGAAATCTATAAAATTAATGAGCATGCTTTACAAAATCTAATATTTCATCGCTATTTTCCGATGAAATAACGAAATGGCACATATCTCCGTCACCATATTTCACAGTTAGCGCTTACAAACTTACTTTGTTCAGATTTCCCGAAGTTGAACAGAACTGAAATCGTTTTTCTTTGTGCAGTAACATCAGATAGATCTAGACAAGGATTTAGGTATTGGCCTCCGCGTTAGAGCATGTAATAACACTACATTGCGTGTTTTGAGCAGGTCTAATAAAGAATGCGCTATCCACTGGTAGAGACACGTGCTCTGACATGTAGTAATTGAATATTTCTAGAAATGAAACGTTCCTAAAAACGTAACGTAAATATTATTTTTCTCTGCAACAGAAATAATTTTAACGAACCCCAAAAGAAATTGATGTGTTGGTAACATGACATGTGTTCGTGTACATCAACTACCAACAGGGCCCTCGCCTAAATCAAATAACTGATATCACACAGTTAAATAATATAGCGTTTTTGAACTTCTCGTGTAAACATCGTAAAAGGAGTGAACAGACTGAGGTGAGGTTTGACTGATTTAACAATGCAAGTCAATCTTATCACGTGGTTTAGTGATAACGTGGTTAAACAGTTAGGTTCAGTATCAAATAGACCTTTAATAACGATGTTTCAGTCTCTTTCTGAAACCAAAATGCTACTTGTAGATTTTTGTCAGTACAACGCATCCCAAGAAGTGGGAACCCAAACTAACGTTTTCTATAATCCTGTGATATCATAATCAAGAACATTGCCGAAACGCATATTTCGATAGTTCAACGAAATTCTTCTTGAATTACGAAGTGTTGAAGGGGCTGAGAAAACGAGACTAATATTTCCAGCTTTCTGAGTAGTTTTCACGTCCAGTAGTTTTTGTACTTTCCACATTTACATAGTAATATCGTAATCATTGCTAGGAAAATGCATCTTGAAATTGCGGCTGTTTTTAGATCATATTCTATATTTGAATGTATTTTAAGTTTTTCGCGTATGTTTATGACAAATATTATTTAGACACGACAAGTTTGTTTTGAACCACACCGACCGCCACCCTAACCTCAATCCTATTTCCCACCCCCGCCCAATCATGCTTTCAATATGTTTCCTTCTCTCACCGTTTCAGGTTCTCGGTTCGTATACAGGTGTGCCCTTTGCAATTTAATACGTCTGTTTCACAATTACCAGTAAAACCACGACCCAAATTATACCACGTCACGCACATTTTGAAGGTCGAGCGAGCTTTCTACACCTTTCATATACCTTATTATCGGAAATCTATTCAATCATTTCACATTATTGTTGTATGTACGATCAGTTTTATTTTCATAATGTTAGAATATTTTGTATACAAACATCTCATTTAGGAAACTTTGGGTGGCCACGGCGCCAAAACGACCCGGAAATCAATAACGGGATGAATGTCACGACATAAATGTATCCCATCTGTGACATAACTGTGTGAAAAGTGTCCTACAGATCAGTGTGTATATAAAGTATCCTAGTGATCAGTGTGTATATAAAGTATCCTAGTGATCAGTGTATATAAAGTATCCTAGTGATC